TTGCCGCCGAAAATTTGTTGTGGAATGATTATAAAGTAAAGTTTAACGCTATTGGAATTCTTGGCTTGGTAGGTTCAAGGTAACTTGGGCATTGCTGGGAACAGGTATGTTAATTGAGACGTTTGGATTGAGCCGTTGGTGGGAGATGTAAGGAATTTGAGTAAGGGGAGGAGAGAAGGAGAGAAGATTCTTGGAGGAGTAGTCAAAATAAGTGTGGGCTATGCGGTGGCGGTGCTTGATCCGTCGCAGCGCAATCGCGTTAAAAGAGACTTCAAGGAGGGCGCCTGGGTATATGGAAGAGAATGACCGCAGTCGAGTGCTTGCGAGGGAGGAGCTCTGCGAGCGCAGAAGTCGGACCCAGGCACATGGTGCCTGAAAACGATGCTCATCGCAGCAGTGGGGACAGCCTCACATACAGAGAGCACAACTACAACAAGGGACAGGAGGCGAAGGGTCGACTCCAGAATAGCTCAATCTCGGTGGTGAATCATACACAATTTTCAGACCGCAAAGTAGAGAGAGAGGCCGGGCCAGTATGGCGATGGCAGGGCGCGTTTTGTCGATCCTTTCCTTAAATTTTCTGTGATTTCTAGTCGGAGTTCAACGGTGTTATGTCTACGTCTCTTAGCATTAGATTAGACATGAATACGGTTCGAGTAGAATATATGAAGGACCTGATTTGATTGATTAGCGTGGTTTTTTTCAGCTATAGTGATTTTTTATCTTTATGATCATGGATGAAGTGCAAATGTTTCTTCGTTTTTGATTCATTAAAAAATCAAAAATTTGTTTGAAGCAGTTTCTTCGTCGAATCGCAAAAAGACTCGTAATTTCTTCTAAATCAGTATATACTTCCCTAGTTTATGTAATACACCTGTGATACTTTACTTATCGCTCATATATGCTGTTCATGTGACAAGTGCATTCTGGGTGATATATTCTCTTTTGAGTAGTAAATATCACAACAAAGATGTAAAACTAACAGTACAGACAACAGTCACAAAAGATGTTTGATTCTGCCAGAAAAGCGTTAATGTCCTGGATAGGTTCAACGTGGCTACGTGCTCGGTTATGTCCTTCAGCATGACATCACATCGGCGAAAATCAAGGAAGTGATTCTCGAAGCCCCCACGAATACTGGAATTGTGTAAACATTCATAATATTAGAGTGATAATATGACTCATACTCTGATGTATTCTATATAAAATCTAATATAACACTCTAGAAAATCACATAATATTCAAAATAGAAAGATCTGTCGGAATGCGATCGCGCCGAAGTGAGTCATGGGTGTGACAAGTATCCAAGTATAGAAGGATGACGAGTGAGGACCTAAGGACTGAGGGAATGTCACATTCAGGAACTTTAGCAAAATAAGTATAAATAGGTATACTAACCCCGGTCATATCTAAATAGAGGCTTGAGCATGAGATGAGTAAAGGCACGGCATAAGAGATGAGTCCACTTGCTATGACCGATCTCGATTCACAGAGATGACATCCCTCCTTGACGGATTGTCGTTTGGGATCCTCTCTGATCCTCGATTAGGATGCCTCTACATAAGGTTGCCTTGATATGATTGCGATGAACTGTGAGCTTACATTTAGGTAGACTGTGGCAGCTAATATAACCATACGACATCATCAAATAAAGTCGATATGGTCAAAATACAGGTCACATATAAGGACGATAAATTATCAAAGTTCGCCATTATACCAAGTACGAAACAGAACCTGAAAAATTAATCTTTATGAATACTTTTGCCCTTTGCATGAGGCCTGTTGTTTGCATTACCCAAATAAAGATCGAGATCTTGGTAGCTAATATGGAAATATAAATATTAGTTGATAAATCATTCTGCTGTTATGTGACATTTTGGATATGTTGCTTTATCTGGTTTGAGTATTCTGATGTCGTTTGCTGCTATTTATTATATGAAAATTTTTTTTTTTGGTATTTTGTGTGACATATCTCAGCACTGTATGCTGCTTTTTTTGTTATGACTTGTGGATATATTCTCGGTTACCAAGTTACATATGCGGCAGTTTAAGTGATGTGATAATTTTTAACATGATATGATTGTGGCATATCATGATATTTCTTCATGCAAGAACGATCCTAAGAGGGAAGGGGACAAAATGAATATTGAAGTCTTGTAAAGGGAATCTGAGATGAGGAGCGCATGGACATGCTGCTCATAATATCGCGAAGGTGGTGAATGGAACAGAAGTTACAATGAAGTTGATACTGACGATCCATGAAATCTTTTGTACTTGGGGTATAACGTACCATGTGATTGAGTAGAAAGTATTAACGAATCACATGTAACTGTTTCATTTGTTTGGATGTTGGATGTTTTCTTAAGCTGTTTTGTAAAAATGATCGAAATATGGGCATTTGTAATTTCTTGGTCGATCTTTTTTTAAGCATAGTTGAATGTAATCTGAAAGTAAAGTTCCTGTTAGCAATATTAATTTATCGCGTTATGTCCTTCAGGCGATACTTCAAGAGTGCTTCCGCTGTCATGGCAATTTTGTTGAAGGAATTTTTTCTGCTTTAGTACATAGTTAGCTATTTGATTTTGTGTCCGATGGATCACTTTAATCTTCAGAACTCCCTTTGCAAATCCTTCAATATTCATAAGCAAATAAGTGTCCATATATCATAACGATAATGTCAACAAATAATACAAAATATCACATAAACACAGATGAGGTCATCATATAGATAGAGTATTGCACATGAGGACGAGTAAGAATCACGCATAACAGGACGAACGTATACTTGTATGGCAACAACTGCCTAAGTAATTTTGAAAATTACGTTGACAACACTCTGGGACAACCATTATCGTCATAAACTTCAACATTTATAATCTCTAACAAGATTGAAATACACATTCTTGAATGGTACACAATAAATATATCTTTTAGATGAAGTAACACTATCTAAACGTTCACCATATAATTAATCGATTAAACGTCACATATGATGTCTGCAATGTGCGCATGTAATACTCAAAAGGTCAGCAAAGTCAGATCCTATAATTCCAGCATTTATAAGGTCTGAACTGTCACATTGCTAGGATTAAATTGTCACATAATAACATTAAAATAAGTCACATGATATTGCTTATTTGTCACATTTACGGTTAACTGTGATACATATATGTTCAAAAAAATCTCTTATTTTTACCAATTGTAACATGTGAATAACTAAGTTTACAGATTCAAAATTTCCCTCGTATACTTATTTGAGTTCCTCCCGAAGCAATTTTTTTAAAAAAAAAATTTTAAATACGCGTCTAAACCTGAACCCCATGTGACCCCGAACCAAGAAGCCTAACCCTATTCTCTGATCTCATAGCCGCGCCTCCTCTCCCTATCTCACAGCCAGCCTCTCCTCATCTCACCCTCTGCTTCTCTTTGAAATTGCTTCCCGTGCCTCGCACCCTCTCGCCGGCATGGCCGCCGCCGTTGAGCGCCGGGAGCCATGTGCGTCTCTTGGGGCCAGTCCCTGGCGCCGCCCTGGCGTCGCAGACTCTCGTCTAAGCCGCCGCCGTTGTGGCCTGAGTTGAGATTCTCGCCATGCGCCGCCCTACAAGTAAAAATGTCAAACTCATTTTTTAGCGGTTATTATTGACCTGGTTTTAGCCAAATCTCACTTATACACTATTATGATTAAATTTAAATAGTTAATGATTGTTCAATTTAAGTTTAATTGATCTAGTTTTTTGTATCAATTAAGTTAGTTGTAATTTAATCTTGAGTAATTTTAGTTTATTGTAGTTAAATGTAGTTTGTATATGTTTAGTTTAATTGAATGCTTCGATGTTGTTAGTTTTTGAGTTTAGATACTGTTCGATGTTTAGTAGTTTTAGTTAATCATGATTCAATTTTGTTAATTTTAGTCATGTAGTGTATTTTAGTGTTATGCCTTCAGTTTAATTATTCAGTTAAATAGTTGGTAAGTTCAATTTTTGAATTATTTTAGTTGCTAATAATGTTCATTTTAGTTCAATTTATTCATTGTTCAATTTAAGTTAATTTAGTTAATTCTATTATTATATTTGGTTTACTAACTTTGGATATTTAAGCATTTTATGCATGGTTGATTATTGGATCTAACTCTTTTATTTAATTTTTGTACAATTTTACATGAACTAATAACATATTTTTGTGGAATTATTAGAGTAATTAATATATGAAAAAATGGCAAACGCCATAGGCGCTTAGGCCCCGCCAAAGCTAGTCCGCCTAGCGTCTGTCGTAACATTCTTTGTACACTGAGTTCTCGATGACAGATACGGTTGGTTTAACCCGAGAAAAGATGCCTGCAACTAAGCTAATATATAATAACAAACAAATAATAACTAACAATTTTTATGAAATTTCCTGGGTCATATCCCCCATCTCTGTCTATACTTGGAACTTATTCATCTCATCTTAATATTTGAAATTGGATTGATTTGCAACTTAGTATCCTAAAGTTACATCCTTTTTAACTTTCGATTCTCCATTTCATTTAATACGCTCAGATGTTTACATTTTTCTTACTGTAAAGTTTTATTTCTAACACATTGATCTCACTCGAAGTCTACAATTCTAGTAGAATCTGAGCACTAGTGATGACAAATCCGTGCTAGAATGCCGCAAGAAATCTGTCTAAACATGGACATCCTAGCATGGAATATCGTGTCTAGGAGGTCCGCATCAAAATAATTTCGCGTCTATGTCAGCATCTAAGACAAAATTTCCTTCTAGAATAAATCATCTTAGACGGCAAAGATGCATCCTAGACGGAATTTCGTGTCGTAGGATGCGCAGAGGCGTCCTAAGAACGGATTGCCGACATTCTGTCTAGATGTTGTGAAATGTAAAAAAATAATAAATCTGCTCATCTAATGCTCTTGCAAGTCGTACTGGACATTAACCAAATGATTATTTGGTGACACATCATAACAACATTATTGATTGGCGACGGGACTACCCCATCGCCAATGGTTATGAATGTGCAAAAAATTCGATTGAGCCAGTTGGCTCATGTACGGCATGTAGCCGTATGTATAGAGATATATATATATATATATATATATATATTATATATATATATATATATATAATATTAAAAAAAATATATATATATATATATTATATATATATATATATATATATGATGATTAATGGGTATCTTTGCATAGGAGGGATTTCCCTCCTTGACGCGCCGATGTATAATCATCATGATATCGAGTGACAATTGGGATGATCCGCTCAGTTGAATGATCTACATATTCTAAAACCGCAACACACCAAGTTTGGGGTGAACCCGTCGTCGTTTGACCCTCCGTCGAGCTATGTCTGAACATAAAAAAGGGAAAATTGATTGGAGGAATCAAAAATAGTTGGGCCAAGCATCCTCACCCCCAGCCTAAGAACCATAACCCCCAAGCCCTAAAATTGAAAAATATGTGCAACCAACCCCCAAACACACTGCCCAAGAAAACCATTTCCCAAATTACCCTTATTCCCAATTAAAAATCATTCCATTTCCTCCCCTTCCCTCCTCCTCCCTCCTCATCCGCATCCCCCCTCCTCCCCGACCCCCTCCTCGGCTCCGTCCGCCTCCTCCCTCCCCTCCCCCTCCTCCCTCCTCTTCCACCTCATCCTCTCTTCCCCCCCCTTACCCTCCTCCTGCAGACCCCCATCATCGCCATTAGCGTCTTCCTCCTCGTCGTCTCCCTCTGCGGCCTCGTCGGCACCTACTACCGCAACTACCTCCTCCTCTGGATCTACCTCCTCGTCATGTTCCTCCTCATCCTCCTACTCTTCTGCTTCACCGTCTTCGCCTTCGTCGTCACCAGCAAGGGAGCCAGCGAGGTTGTCTCCGGGAGGGGCTACAAGGAGTATAGGCTCAGGGACTACTCCAACTGGCTGCAGAAGTGGGTTGAGAGCTCCAAGAATTGGTGGAAGATTAGGAGCTATTTAGTTGATAGCAAGGTTTGCCAAAAGTTTGAGGTGAATGACAACAGGACTCTGGATTAGTTCGTGAAGGAGAATCTGCCGCCACTTCAGGTAGTAGATGAATTTGTGTCTTTACGTGTGTTTTCAGATCTGGGTTGCTCTTGGTTTTCATGGGTTTGTTTGATTTGCAAGGAATTCTTGTTGGTTTCGGGATTTGGACTTTTTTGCTATTCTTGATTAATTTTAGGGAAAATTTCTTGGAGGAATCAAAATAAGTTGGGCTATGCGGTGGCGGTGTTGATCGTGAGGCATCGGTTAAAGAGCTTAGGGCGGTGGGTGAGGGTGACGATGATCTTGAGGGAGCTCGAGGAGAAGTGAGCGACGCTCAAGATGCTCATCAGCTACATCGACAATCTCTCCACTGGGCGAGTGATCTGATTATTTGGATCTAACGTTCTTGTTTTGTGATCTTTCTTTATTTCTGTATTTCTAGTGATTTTATTAGTTTTAGCATATTACATGAACGTCGTAGTAGATATTAGCCTGGATTTGGATTGATTACTGTGTTTTTTCAGCTATAGATTTTTTAACTTTATGATCTTGGATGAAGTGTCAATGTTTCTTGTTTTTGATTCATTAAAAATCAAAATTTGTGAAGCAGTTTCTTGTCGAACGCAAAAAGACTCGTAAGTTTCTCTAAACATATTATACTTACCAGTTTATTAATACATGTGATACTTACTTATGTCATATATGCTGGTTTCATGTGACATAGTGACATTCTGGGTGATATATTCTGCTTTTAAGTAGTAAATATCACAACAAAATGTCAAAACTAACATGTAACAGACAACAGTCACAAAAGAGTTTGAATTCTGCCAGAAAACGTTAATCCTGGATAGGTTCAGTGCACGTGGCTCGGTTATGTCCTTCAGCATGACATCACATCGCAAATAGGAAGTGTTCTCCCCCCACGAATCTAATTGTTGTAACATTCAATAATATTAGAAGTGATATGACCATATCTGTGTATCATATAAAAATTCATTATCACAAATTACAGCCATGTGTCACATATAAACAATAAATGTCACAAGCAATAGCAAAATATCATATACAATAGGTATACGTCATATCTAATAGAGTCATTCCACATGAGATGAGTAAATGTCACGCATGAGATGAGTCACTTGCTATGTCGTTCATCATCCACACATCCTCTCCTTGAGGATTGTCGTTTGGGATCCTCTCTGATTCCTCGATTAGGATCCTCTCATAAGGTTCCTTGATATGATTCGATGACTGTGAGCTTACATTAGGTAGACTGCAAGCTAAATATAACATACACATCACAAATAAAGTCGATATGTCAAAAGTAAAGTCGTCGGGTCACATATAAGACGAAAATATCAAAGTTCCCATTATACAAAGTATCCAGAACCTGAAAATAATCTTTTGAATACTTTTGCCCTTTTGCATGAGGCCTGTGTTTCATTAACCAAATAAAGATGAGATCTTTGTAGCTAATTGGAAATATATAGTTAGTTGAAAATCATCTGCTGTTATGTGACATTTTGGTATTATGTGTGACTTATGTTGCTGTTATATGATGTTTGAGTATTCTGTGTGATATATGCTGCTGTTATATGATATTTTGGTATTTTGTGTGACATATACTGCTGTTATGTGATTTTTTTGTATTCTGTGATATATTCTCGTTACCAGTTACATATGCTGCAGTTTAAGTGATGTGATATTTTTACAGATATGATTGTGGCATACATGCATATTTTTCATCAAGACGATCCTAGAGGGAAGGGAGACAATGAATATTGAAGTCTTGTAAAGGGAATCTGAGATGTTAGGAGCAGGACATGCTGCTCAAATCATGCGAAGGTGGTGAATGGAAGAAGTTACAATTGAAGTTAGATACTGACGATCCAGAATATCTTTTGTACTTGGGGGTAATAACGTACCATTGATTGAGTAGAAGTATTAGACAAACACATGTAACTGTTTCATTTGTTGGATGTTGGATGTTTACTAGCTGTTTGTAAATGATAAAATATGCATTTGTAATTTCTTGGTGATCTTTTTTTAGCATATTAAATGTAATCTGAAAGTAAAGTTCTTTAGCATATTAATTTATCGGTTATGTCCTTCAGCGATACTTCAAGAGTGCTTCCCTTCATGCAATTTTGTTGAAGAATTTTTTCTGCTTTAGTACATAGTTAGCTATTTGATTTTGTTGTCCATGGATCAACTTTAATCTCAGACTCCCTTTGCAAACCTTCAATATTCATAACAAATAAGTGTCATATATAAACGATAACTGTCACAAATAATAGCAAAATATCACATAACACAGATAAGAGTCACATATAATAGAGTATTGCTACATGAGACGAGTAAAAGTCACACATAACAGACGAACGTATACTTGTATGCAACAAACTCTAATAATTTTGAAATACGTTGAGCAACACTTGGGACAAAACCCATATCTCTAAACTTCAATTTATAATTCTCAACAAGATGAAATACACATCTTGAATGGTACGCAATTAGAAATATATCTTTTAGATGAAGTACACATCTAACGTTCACATATAATACGTTAACGTCACATATGATGTCTCAATGTCGCATGTAATACTCAAAAGTCACAAATCAGATCTAAATTTCACATATAAGGTTGAACTGTCACATGTAGGATTAAATTGTCACATATAACATTAAAATATCACATGATATGCTTATTTGTCACATTTACGGTTAACTGTGATACATATATGTTCCAAAAAATCCCTTATTTTTCCATTTAACATTGAATAACTAAGTTACAATCAAAATCCCTCGTATACTTATTTTGATTCCTCCAAGCAATTTTTTCTAAAAAAAAAAATTTTAAAACCCAAACCTGAACCCGTGACCCGAACCCAAAACCTAACCCTATCTCCCTA